GTGTCCACGTGTGTTTCGAAACATATGTAGAATATAATATAACGTAACAGTAAAGAAACTCAAATACGTAAGATGTTGACTTTAGAAACACTAAAATTTATTAGGCGAATATTTCGGCTACTCCTGTAGTCTTTGTCAACGCTTGACATAAAATATATATATATATATATATACTGATCATTTGTAGGCTACTTCCTCATATAGATGTTAAGGAATGTTTGGCATCTAGAAAATGTACAATTATAAAAACACAACAAAGCACAATGTTTACTGTTCAATACTAGTCAACACCCTCACTTCCTCTAGACCTGAACACTGAATAGTGCACGGGACGTGGAATTCCACAACAATAACTGCCGACACAATGCACACCTCAACGCCAATGAATTACCATTATAGTTGCATCGCCAACCTCTTTAAGTACATAAATTAATTACTTTGTACAAATCACTAGCAGATTATTATAGTTAATATATTATTGATACTGATCACGCGTGTGGTGTCATGTTATACCCTCCTCCTTAATTCTACAGATCGTTCTCAAGATAACATACTTAAGGAGCTACACACCGACACTGGGACTGGTCATTCACCTCTGAACCTATCACGCAATAGGGTTCCTCATTAAAGGGGAACCCTTCACCCCATCCTTGTCTCAGAATGTTATCTATGCTGTGATTGGCCAATGTAGAGTAATTAAGCACTACTTCCTGACCAATTAAATTGTAGTGATTCAAATTCAGAAGGTTTTGTCTTTAAATCCCAAATGAGTATTATATCTTTTTTCTCAAAAAATGTATTATCGTTTTTATTTATCTAGTTTTTTATGTATTTACTAGCGGAGTTGTTTATCCATAACAAAATTTAACTATTCTAAAGGTGATTTACCATTATCTATTCGAAAGAAAAAAAATCATGTCCTAATGTGAATATCTAAAGCCCTGTCATGACTATCAAATTAAATTTGAAAAAAAAATTGTTGTATGCCCATATATAGTAGTGATGTGCCTATATATGGTCATGATGTGATGTCATCATGACCATATTTAGGTATGTCACATGTTTTTGTCATATAAAATTTGATAGTCTTGGCAGTGCATAAGGGGTTCACTAGTTTGGACTTATAGCTCCGTTGGTAGAGCCTACTGTGCCATCCAAATGCTCTACCATCAATGGGTCCAATTCTTAAATAGGACAATTTATGCTTTTCTCAATTTATAACCAGATTCAGACATGCTACTAAATTATTTAGAGTATTGCCAGAATGGTACACTCAGATAAACACGATAATCTTAAAAATCATTATAAAAATTATATCACTACATCTAACAAAATAATAATATTACATTAATAATTTTTTTAAAGAATCATTCAATATAATACTGACTAGTTTTTATTTGCCATAAATCTCTCAAATTTAAAGCAATATTTTAACAAGAAATATAAAACATTTTAAGCTACAACAGTAGATTTAAGTTAAGTGTATGTGCACATTTTTATCATTGCTGAAATAAATTACAAGAAATGACAGGAAATAAAAATGTAATAGTTTTATAATCATTTAAAGTTGACAAAATGCTATAAACCAATCAGGAGTAGCACCTTTAAGTAGCCATAATGTGAGCTCATTCCCACTCAACACATAAAGAAATACATTAAAACTATATTTAGCACAAAAACAATTTCGAATAAAATCGAGATTTTATTGCAAAATCAATGAAAAGCACTTCTTATCATTGTGGGGGCGAAAATTGAATTAGCCTAGATCTATTTTTTGGATGCCTGCATGCAAAATGCAACATTCAGAGTTTTAATCTATTACTGTATATTAATAGATCGTTATCTGCAATTTACAAGTTTCTTTGGTAAGTGGTTGTATCAGTTACAAATCTGTCTGCTAATACCACAAAAAAGTGTCAATTTCACTACCTGGGGGCCTGCTTGAACATTATTAATTAAACTATTTATCTGATTATTAGTCAAGTCTTATAAGATCATCCTGCTGATAAGTTAAAGCTTGCGCCTTTCATGGTTAAATAAATGTGGGTTTGACGAGAAACTTGAACCAAAAATGCATGATGAAGCAAAAAAACAGATCTTGTAGATAAGACAAAGTCTTTAGAAACTTTTAGGATTGTTTATTCTTTATGTTCCTAATTTTTCAAACCTTCTGAATTCCCAAAGGGAACTTACCATATTTGGAATAAATGCCTCCATTGAATAAACGCCTCCGTAACTGTAAACAAAACTAATGGAGGCCATATCATTCTCAACACATTCTATCAATGTTTTACTCCAGTACAGTAGAATTACATTTTTTCTAACCTGGTTGGGATAAATAAGTCTTTATGATCACACAATACACATATTGTGTTGTAGTTTCACATTTACAGTGAAAATAAGGGACATATATTTGAGTGTATATGTATCCATTTTACACAAAAAAAACAAAAAAAAAATGCCTCCCTCGAATTAACGCTTCTCTCAAATAAAAGCTCCTCAAACCCTTTCTCAACAATAAATGCCTGGGGTGTTTATTTGAATAAATACAGTAACTAACTTCTGTATGGGAGTGCATTGTCCGATGGGAAATGTGAAATACGTAATGTCTGCCCGAGACAAAACAGCGTAGCAGATGATGATGAGATGACATTATACTGTATAGAAGATACATAATAGAAGACCATGATGTACACCTCTCCAAAAAGACTATCCAAAAAGAGACTGCAACTTCAATTAAAGACAACTATCTAGATAAAGGCCTTTTTTTTTATTTTTATGACAATTATTTCTCTAATTACAAAGTTGCTAAATGACCATGAACACCCCGACCTCATAGTGGACATTTCCAGAGTGATAATCAAACTTAACAACTGACCAATCAACACCAAGCTAGGAATATGTGCTTGTCTCACAAGTACATAGATTGTTCCACAAATCCATGTGTTTAATAATGTTACTTCTTCTTCCAGATGGAGGGCCAAATTGACAGTTGAAGGCTTCGGCCCAAAATGGATGTGTACTACTCATCCTCACAATTTATTTCTCCACTAAGTTCCCGTCGTGTCATCATGCGCAGGCCAAAAAGCGCGCCGTCTAGTCCACAATGGCGAGGTCGTGAGATGGACCAATACACCGGGGTAACCCCCTACTTGTCTAGCAAGATGTACTGGGTTCTTTTTAGTGCACATGAGCTAGTACTATTTATGTAATCATGTAAAAAAGCATGAAGTGAATTGCTCAAATTCAAACATAAAAAAACAGTTTAAAAAAAGTAGACTAGTAGGAATGGAATAAATTAATTCTGATACATAATTCATTAGGAAATAAAAAGATGGTACAGTAGGCATAGCGAGACTTTTTTTACACCTTGTTCAGTGAACTCACCGCTTGCCAATAATGATCATTTCAAATAAACATAAAATTTTACTTTTAGAAAAATTAGTACACCCGAAGCCACGAAAAAAAATGGAAATTTCAGAAAAAAATTTAAATTTTTCTTTATTTTTATCACGCCCACCGCTGCCTTGAAATCTCCAAAACTAAGATATGTACATTTCTTCTCAATTGTATAAATTTAAAGCATTTAACCATCCCATTACTACAGTGTTTACGTTCAGCAATTAAATTTTATTTTCTGCTCCGTCTGGATGTTTTTGGCAAAACCATTTGCTAAATAAGAAAACAAAATTTTATCTTTTATTCCGCCCTTCTCTGACGATCTTTATAAAAATAGCAAGGTATAAAAAAAGTCTCGTCTAAAGTATGTTACATACCTCTGGAATGCAGAGCCTAGCACAAATGCGCAAGCTTCTTTGATCTGAAGTTCGGTGTCATTGAGGCCATCCACTAGTATTTGAAACCCACCAACACTTTCCAAGTTCTGCGCATTATCAATCTAAACAAAAGAATATACACTGCATCACATCATATTGGTAATGGTATTAGTGTGGGACTTGTAAAGTGCATGTTACGTGGTCTCTGTGCACTATATGTTACACAAAAGAAACAAACCAAAAAACTAAATCTAACTAGCTTAGAGGCTTAAGCATTTATCTCTGCTAGCCAGAATTTAAAGGAGCAATACTGCACATATTTAAAAAAAACCCATCATGCATTCCATTTTTTTAAATATTAAAAACCAAGAAAATTATGCCTTTAAGGTTTGAATTTTGAAGTCAAACATAAAATTGTGCACTTTCAAATTCATAAGACTTTTTACCTGATGCACGTAATATTCTAATTCAAGAAGGACATTGACTCGTTGCTGGAGACTGGCGTCCTTTTGCTTGTATTGCTCAACTAGTCGCTGCATTATTTCTGTATCTGTTTCTACCATGACATTCATTGCTTCAAAATCTTTCTTAAGCTCTGAATATGATCTATATTTCTCTTGTAGCTTTTTGGCCTGAAAAAACAAAACCAATTTAAAAACTACCATATTATCAGTTATAAACTTACATACATCATATTATTTATATAGCGCTATTCCATTAAGATCAGAGCGTTAAAAGCATGGATTACAGTAGCTCATACATTAACTTTCTTCTCTCCTAACGGTCTCTTTGTGTCTTAGCTACTACCCGGTAAACCGGTACCAGCTACTCTTGTCTGTCCACAACAGGGTCTGTATGGACCACTACCCTGAGGCAACCCCCTACTCGTCTTGAAAGATGTACTGGGTTTTTTATAGTGCACATGAGCCAACTGTTTACACTGGGCCTACTGGTTATAGTCCTAATCCGAGAAGACTCGTTCCACCTCCAGTGTGCCATTCGAACCAGCACCGACAATTTGGCTGTAGTTTGCGACACCCCTGCTTTAACCACTTGGCCGTTTGACTTGGAGCTCGGCCAGTTGACTTGCCATGGTTAACTTAAATCAATATACTTAGTATAAGATAACATTACTGTACCTCTTCTTTGTCCTTAACGTCATCCATACCACTCTTAAATTTCTTCAGAGCTTCCTTTAATTCTGTTTGAGTAAAATGATCTTTGTTTATCATTCTCATTCCCTCATGGTCACCATCCTTCCAATACTTCATCTTTTCATCCTCCATATCAACGGACTCTTCTACTTCTCCATCACTGTTAACTCTTTCTACATGTGTATCCTCTCCATCTGCTACTACTTTCACTTGGTTTATTTCATCCGTTTGGACATCTTCAGGGTCCAGCAGTTTTGCTTCTTTGATGCCGGTCTGGAAGTCCATCCTGACATGGAGTCCACGAGGAATAGATTGTCCTGTGCACAGAATAAATAAAATCTGATCCACTTAAGTACGAAGCTGACAATGGTTTGTATCTAATCTCTAAAAATAATTATATTTGAATTTGAAAAGAGGAACATGTATAGTGGAACAGTGTTCTCCCAATAAAAAGTTTTAATTTAATTTTAATTCCGGATGGAAGAGTAATTATGGAAAATATAATGCAGCAAATTTGGCACTTTATATTGTATTATGTAATGTTAAATTTATATAGCACTTCATACCAAAGTCTCAAAGTGCTCGAGGTGTGGACTTGCTCGGACAATAACTTGCTTCTCCCCAAAGGTCTTTTCATGTTTGAGCTACCTGGTAAACTGGTACCAGCTACTCTCATCTGTCCACAGCAGGGGCTGTATGGACTAGCCCACCGGGGTGTACACCTTTCGAGGGGTGTACTCGTCTAAAAAGATGTACTGAGTTCTTTAAAGTGCACATGAGCCAAATTGTGCACACTGGGCCTACAGTGTAGTCCTTATTCGAGAAGACTTGTTCCACCACCGGAACCATAGGAGAGAGTGCCAATCGAACCAGCGTCGATATTATGGCTGTACGTTACCACGCCCCTGCATTAACCACTCAGTCATTCAACTCCAAAGTACATTGTGAAGTTCGGTACAATATAAATCCCAACAATCATTTGATTGTCAAAAACAGGTCTCCCTCCAATTAAAGACTACTTTTCAGACAGGGAGTTCCAGGTCTTTAGCAGCTTTGGTCTATAGAATAATAAAGATATGTTAATAGAGATACAGTATGCTAATATGGGACTACAGAAAAGTGGTCTTAAAATTGGAGGTGGTCTTAATTGGAGGGGTCTACATTAGAGGGAGACCTGATACAATATGTTCAAAAAAAGGTTTGTTTGAAGTTAGACTACCCTGTAGTTCGTTAGGTTCAGGTTACCTGGTTTTATAACTTGCCATTCATTTGTAGGTTGAAAGATGTCTGCATCTCCATCACCAGATTCTTGGTCAAATTCATAATTCTCCTGTGGCTTTGTGTCATCATTATTTCCATCATCAATATTAACACTTAATGCAGCAGAGGCAGGCAATGCACCATCACTACCAAGTACTGATATATAACAGGAGATGCCAAACAGATGAAGCATGCAGACATGGAAGATACTCAATCGTAATTTTCTGCTGTACATTCTGTAGAGACAAGAAGAACCATGGTTCATGTTAATGTATGTAAATATTCACAATATAATAATATCAAATATTATAAATGCCCTAATGTCAATACAATCTTTAATTTCTTTCAAAAATTGTAAGTTCATTTATGTGGTATGCTGTACATGCAGTAAAATAATAGAAGGGAGCACAATTCTAATCAGCTACAGTAAAACTTTTTTATATTGTATCCTTTGGAACATGGAGACTGACTTGTTTGGCTAGGTCATATGGGATTAGGGTTGTAGCGACCGCGAGGGAAAGCAGCCGCGCTCAAAATGTATGGAACGCCAGTAGCGCTATACCAATTGATTGGGATACGGTACTGTGGAGCATTGGTCAATAGCGTTCATATCGTACTCGTCAATTCTAGTATATTTCACTCAGTTTTATTTGATCAGGCAAGTGTTTCGAAATAAAGAGAAATCAATGTATAATTTTCATAATTGAATATTTTTTATTTCTCGTAGTCTTCTTAGCCCTGGTTAATTAAAGATCGATTTGTTTGCAGATTGATTACAGATCGAAACATTTAAAAGGTAAAGGTAAAGGTAGGAGAATAACCCATAACTTGCAGCGTCATTGTGCTGCATTGCGTATTGGCGTGGTCCGTGACTACCTAGCTGCCGTAAAGAGGCGCTTCTTGGTAGATAAATGTTCACATCGTTCCACAACGACAGGGGCTGAAATGAACCATAACATCGGGGTAACCCCCTACTCTTCCGAAAGATGCAATGGGTTCTTTAAAGTGCACACGAGCCAGATGTACTGTATACACTGGACCTCCATTTTAAGTCCTTATCCGAGAAGACTTGGTTCTACCAACCGGACCATGGGCGAGGAGCGGCTGGAACCAGCGCCGATGTTATAGGCTGTAGCTAGTGGCGCCCCTGCCTTACTGCTCGGCCACTCGACTCGATTTTTGTACGTACATGACATAATGGAATTATGATATGATTAAATTGATATGTATTATTATGTTATCAGTTTGGATTTTTATGTATGATGAACTTTTATTTTATATTTCTTTCAGGACACAAACGGATTCAAACATGGGATCTGTCAATACTAAATTTACAATGTAATAAAATTTGCTGAACGTGAAAAACATAGGTCTACACTTAGTGATACTGTACATTGTTGTCAATATTATTATTAATTTATTATTATTATTATTATTATTATTATTATTATTATTATTATTATTATTAATGATAATTATCAATCATCTTCAAATGCAATGACAAACAGATGTTCATTCACTAAAGAACAAACTATATAAATATTAAGTCTCGATTTACATAGGCTATATATAAATTATGAAAGAAAATATACATTAATTTGATAATTGATTAAAACAGTATTAATATCGTCATATGCCCCTTACCCCTGGTCCCACTACCTATGTAAAGTGTATGAGAAATTTACATCATATATTAACCAAGAAATAAAAAAGAAAAGAAAAGATATTGACAAATTCGAAGTGACACTTATTTGCCTTCTCTTCAACTTCAACCAAAACAAAAAAAATTACAGATTCAGTATAATGAAGAGGAAAAGGAAGAAAGCACAGACCCAGGAAGATAATAAAATATCTTGTGACAAGTCAGACAAAAAGGCAAAGATACATCTAAAAAAATGGCAGAGAAACCATTGAAACTGCTATGTAAATGCTGTAAAGTAAGGAAATATCACACTTCAGGAACATGCTTATCTGTTCCTTTGAATTATGGAATAATATAATAAGTACAAAAAAATTTGAGTTTTAACATAAAAATGCTCAATATATCAAACAACTTCTTTAAAATATAATAAAACATTCAGTAGAAAAAGAAGGCTGTGAATGTATTCTGACAATATTTATAATTATCCGTAGTGAAACTGTCTACTTACTTGATCAAGAATATGTGAGACTTGACTTGGTAAGAACGTTGAGGACTGCCTGGTTTTACGACCATAGCTAGCCTAAAACAACATGCCTGTAGGACGGCCAACCACTAGGCTAGCCGTTATGTCGCACCTAGCTGGCTAGGCTAGTGTGGATATAATGTAGCCTAGCCTAGATAATCGCTGCCTAGGCTCAAGAAAGTACTACTACTACGACGGTAAGTAGGGCCTCTAGTCAGGCCGAGCCCTAGCATCAAGCAAGGCAATGTTGGCCGCAGTTAACCTACCTTAAGCCGAATATATCAACAAAAGAGAGGATCAGATTTTATATTATCCTTCGTCTTAATGGTGAATTTCACTTAGTCTTAGTTTATGTAGGCCTACCATATATGTTAATTTTAGTCGGTGATATGTAACGCCACCGTTCCCACACGTGTACCTTGTTGACGTTCAACACGTCTTACTTGCTAACTGACCCATGACGGAATTACCTTTCACACCTGACATTGTTATTCAAGCGCATGATAGTATAATGTTTATTTACTAATATAATTCGTTGATTAAAATTGAATTACAGCTTTTTAATAATATTAATAATTAAAAAATTTATATATTTATATATTAATGAAATTTAACTTCGCTTTAAATTGTTTTATTTAGTTCAAATTTAATCAAAAAATATATTTGATTGTGATTCGTGACCTGCTGAAAGTGCCATTTTAAAAAACTTTTGAAAACGCACATGTTCTTTACTCTACCTGACGGGTTTCAGGCTGCAGTGGTGTAATACCTTTTGTTCAACAGTTCTTTTTTTAAAACAAGTTAAATATGGCAATTAACAAAGAATATTTTTGGGGTAAGTTTTGAGGTTGAATGCGATTATAGAAATTCCTCGTCCGTTCGTTGCCTCAGTTTGATCAGGTAACCGTAAATCTGTTCAATTCAATCATCCACTAACCACTCGCCACGGCCACGACAGGTGGCGCGGGAGTACCATCGTCACACCAGTCAAGAGACTTTAGTGTGCCCTAGGCCTAGTCAGGTACAGCCTACGTTATGCCTAGCCTTGTGCCCTGTTTATAAAAACTCAGATTCTTGGTTGGTTCCATTTACTTTCTAGCTACTACTAGGCCTAGCCTAGACTAACGAATTATATTCTTAATTAAACCTTTTTGTTTTTAAAGGAAATTGGCGCTGATGCACTTATAGCCTAGTACTCCACCCAAACCTAACCTTAACCTCAACTGCAGTCTTGCTATGTTATTGTTAAGGTTAGGGTTAGGGTGGAGTACTAAAGTGCATTAGCTTGATTAAAGTTTGATTTGTTTACAGATTGATTACAGATTGAAACATTTTTGTACGTACATGACATAATTGAATTAGATTAAATTGATATTTATTATATGTTATCAGTTCAGATTTTTATGTATAATGAACTTTTATTTTATATTTCTTTCAGGACACAAACGGATTCAAACATGGGATCTGTCAATACTAAATTTACAATGTAATAAAATTTGATGAACGTGAAAAACATAGGTCTACACTTAGTGATACTGTACATTGTTGTCATTATTATTATTAATTTATTATTATTATTATTATTACTATTATTATTATTATTATTATTAAATGATAATTATCAATCATCTTCAAATGCAATGACAAACAGATGTTCATTCACTAAAGAACAAACTATAAATATTAAGTCTCGATTTATATAGGCTATATATAAATTATGAAAGAAAATATACATTAATTTGATAATTGATTAAAACAGTATTAATATCAAACTCTGATGCCCATTGTCCAACATACATTTTGCATACTGCACGCTTGGCGCTCCATACAAATTGCTCCGTATCGGCTCGCGGCCGCTCCGACCATACTCCGTCATATGCCCCTTACCCCTGGTCCCACTACCTATGTAAAGTGTATGAGAAATTTACATCATATATTAACCAAAAAAAAAAAGAAAAGATATTGACAAATCCGAAGTGACATTTGCCTTCTCTTCAACTTCAACCAAAACAAAAAAAAAATACAGATTCAGTATAATGAAGAGGAAAAGGAAGAAAGCACAGACTCAGGAAGATAATAAAATATCTTGTGACAAGTCAGACAAAAAGGCAAAGATACATCTAAAAAAAATGGCAGAGAAACCATTGAAACTGCTATGTAAATGCTGTAAAGTGAGGAAATATCACACTTCAAGAACATGCTTATCTGTTCCTTTGAATTATGGAATAATAAGTACAAAAAAATTTGAGTTTACATAAAAATGCTCAATATATCAAACAATTTCTTTAAAATATAATAAAATATTCAGTAGAAAAAGAAGGCTGTGAATGTATTCAGAAATATTTATAATTATCCATAGTGAAACTGTCTACTAATACTTGATCAAGAATATGTGAGACTTGACTTGGTAAGAACGTTGAGGACTGCCTGGTTTTACGACCTATAGCTAGCCTAAAACAACATGCCTGTAGGACGGCCTACCACTAGGCTAGCCGTTATGCCACACCTAGCTGGCTAGGCTAGTGTGGATATAATGTAGCCTAGCCTAGATAATCGCTGCCTAGCTAGGCTCGAGAAAGTAATACTACTACTACGACGGTAAGTAAGGCCTCTAGCTAGTCAGGCCGAGCCCTAGCATCAAGCAAGGCAATGTTGGCCGCAGCTAACCTACCTTACGCCGAATATATCAACAAAAGAGAGGATCAGATTTTATATTATCCTTCGTCTTAATGGTGAATTTCACTTAGTCTTAGTTTATGTAGGCCTACCATATATGTTAATTTTAGTCGGTGATATGTAACGCCACCGTTCCCACACGTGTACCTTGTTGACGTTCAACACGTCTTACTTGCTAACTGACCCATGACGGAATTACCTTTCACACCTGACATTGTTATTCAAGCGCATGATAGTATAATGTTTATTTACTAATATAATTCGTTGATTAAAATTGAATTACAGCTTTTTAATAATATTAATAATTAAAAAATTTATATATTTATATATTAATGAAATTTAACTTCGCTTTAAATTGTTTTATTTAGTTCAAATTTAATCAAAAAATATATTTGATTGTGATTCGTGACCTGCTGAAAGTGCCATTTTAAAAAACTTTTGAAAACGCACATGTTCTTTACTCTACCTGACGGGTTTCAGGCTGCAGTGGTGTAATACCTTTTGTTCAACAGTTCTTTTTTTAAAACAAGTTAAATATGGCAATTAACAAAGAATATTTTTGGGGTAAGTTTTGAGGTTGAATGCGATTATAGAAATTCCTCGTCCGTTCGTTGCCTCAATTTGATCAGGTAACCGTAAATCTGTTCAATTCAATCATCCACCACCCACTCGCCACGGCTACGACAGGTGGCGCGGGGGTACCATCGTCACACCAGTCAAGAGTCTTTAGTGTGCCCTAGGCCTAGTCAAGTCCAGCCTACGTTATGCCTAGCCTTGTGCCCTGTCTATAAAAAACTCTGATTCTTGGTTGGTTCCATTTACATTCTAGCTACTACTAGGCCTAGCCTAGACTAACGAATTATATTCTTAATTAAACCTCTTTGTTTTTAAAGGAAAATTGGCGCTGATGCACTTATAGCCTAGTACTCCACCCTAACCTTAACCTCAACTGCAGTCTTGCTATGTTATTGTTAAGGTTAGGGTTAGGGTGGAGTACTAAAGTGCATTAGCACTGGAAAATTAATTGAATTGGGAAGAATAAGGCCACTTTTTGTTGCCTCTCCAAAATTGTTTTGACATGCATTAATAATTATGAAATGAAGTGTCAAATTGTTGACACTTGCTCTTTTGCATCCTACCTAGGTTTATTTCGGAGGGGAAATATAGTTGGTGGTGAAGAAGATTTCTTTCTCTCTCTCCAAAAACTCCACTCCCAAGCGTCATAATTTGACTTAGATAATACCTTCTTGACTTGCGTAGATCATTTTTGTATCAATTCCAATTTTTTCAATTTCAATTTTATTTGATCTCAAATGGCAGCATTAATGCTAAATACATGACAATAAATTTAATACATTTAAATAAACAGAAAAGCCGTAAAACATAATAAGATCAAATTATTTAGGTAAAACATTTTAATTCTATTTACTAAACTAGAAAAATGATAACATTAATTTGGTAAAACATTTTAATTGTATTTACATAACTAATAAAATGTCAAAATACTACAAGTTACTGTATAAAAATTAGATTATTATTTATGTAAAAATAACATTACTGTATGTATTATCAAAATATTTACAATTGAAATTTATAAAAAATAACTTTAATTTCATTTTTTAAAATTTGAATGTCTTATGTAATATATTTATTCATCTTGATGGCTTTTACATTTTCCATAGGCCTATCTACAGTAATTTAAAAAAAAGAAGAAATAAAATAATATCAGTGACCTTTTAAATGGATCACTTGTATTATTATATTCTTATTTCTATCATCAAAAATTGTTTTTCTAATTGTTATCACCATCATAAATATTCATCCTTTGAAAAAAAGAAAATTAGTAAATTCACTTTGTTAATTCATTTCTAAACATAAAATTTCATAAGCACTGCTCTACAATCAAGACTGGCACACCAATTGAGGCTTACTGTAATATATTGGAGTAATTGTATTTTGAAAAAGCATTGAGGTGCTAAATCAATATACCAACTTCATAGATTCCAGGCATTTGATTGGTTGAAAAAGCTGGATAATAGTTACAGCCATGCCCTCCTAACTGGTTAATAGTATTAGAATCTATGTAGTCTTATATGAAACAAATATTTACTGGGATTTTCATTGGGTCTTTTTCTCCAGATAACCTTGGGCTATAATTTGAACCATGCCTCTCATCCCAGTAAATATTTGTATATATTATGTTGCAAAATTGTAACATTATTAAACAACATATTTTGACAGTGTACTGTATATGAAGTTGTAAAAAATCATGTACAATAGTCCATATATCGCACTCGATCACACACCACTTTCAAATATGCATTGCACAGAGCATACTAATGCAGTACATGGTTGATTATTTATCTTAAAATCATTGCTTTATTCTCCATTATTGGCTCTGTCTCTCTTAAAAGGTAAAAAGTTTCTTGCTGCAAGATGTTTGCTAACATTATTTTAAATACAGAAAAAAGTAGCACGTTGATACTAGGTGAGATTTTTATTTCCAACAAGCTTTTTTATACACAGTACACTGAAGAAGTAATAGACTAGTGGTACGGCTAATCATATTTTCAGTACTTGTATTTTTAATTTAGCGGGACAACTGAGCAAGAAGAAGCCCTCTATTACATGGGACCCAAAGATCGGAGATGAGGATGATGATGACAGCTTTGAGGAAAGCGCTGTTCAGCATTTTCTATTTTTGAAGCAGGTAAAATTTTATGTTCTGCTTAATTCCGGGAGACTCCTGTGCACAGGAGACTGGTGACGTCTGTGATATACCCCTTTACAGAATTACCAGACTGACCAACAATACCTTTAAACTATACTTACACATAACCCAACACTCATATCTATAGAACCCTTGTATACAACTTGTAGGCCTATAAAAGAGAAGGGGTTGGGCTGTGAAATTTAGAAGCCCGCCGCCAGTCTCAACAGATGAGAACTGGCCACCAGCTTTAAAAGTGTTGAATACCCAGGGTATAGATGATTTCTGAATTAATTACCCAACTCCGGTAAAATATTTATATAAGTACAGTAATTTGACCATATTTAGGCATTTCACATGTTTTTGTCAAATAAAATGTGGTAGTTTGGACAGGGCTTTAGATGCATTATCGCGTACACTAAATAGTGCCACGCAATCTAAGCATTGACCTTAATAAAAAGTATTATTTTCCACCTCACTAACCACATAATCTAAGGGCCTGTTTCTACTGGAAAGAAATAATCGATTAAAAATTGCTTTTTCGAAAAATTTCTTTTATTCTCGTAGTAGAAACAGGACCAGTTTAAAGAAAAAGTGATTAAAAAAAATTGATTAAAAACACGCAATGAATAGCGTGTTTGAACGGCAAATAACCGATTTTGGCTGTGCACCTTTTAGCTGCAACACAAAAAAAGTGATTATTAGGTGAAATGTGACCTCCAGGTCAATCACTGCAAACTTTCAAAAAAATTTGTCCTCTTGTTCATGTCCTTGGCCTACAAGCTAAAAACATCATCATCATCATCATTCGTTTTGTAATTATTTTGTGAGGGGATATTGGGCCTAGGCCTCTCCTAGTAATTTTACCAAGTGTGTTTCACATTCTATATGATTATCTTAACAGTAACAATATATTATTTTGTTATAAATCTTAGGCAGTTTTAGGAACTGAAGCTAAAGACGGTGAAAGAAATGTGGTGCAGGTAGCTTCTGAGGACATCGATGGAGAGACAATCAAACAACCTTTATTTTCTCTTAAAATTGGACTAAATGAATGTGTAAGTGAATGTTAGGATATAACAAACATTTCGGCATAAGCATAACCATGCCCTCTCAATAGCGTCAAGTTGTGTACAGTAGGCATGTAAGAATGCGCATAAATTTGGTAATCATCACTCCATAAAACGATTCTATCACAAATACAGTTGTTTAGTAAATATTTCAGCCTACCAACTTTAGAGGAATTTTGAATCCGGTAATAATAAAACTGTTTTACAAACATTTAACTTTACGAACATAATTTATAAGATCGTAAATTATATTTGTAAAGTTAATTTATAAGATATTTATAATTTTGTTAATTTTTCTATCAAATCATAATTATTTTTGAAAGGATTTTTATGTACGTCAGAGTACCCATGCTACTTACAAACAAAATCACCATAAAACTTCAATCATTCTTAGCATGAGAAAATGAGTTAAAAGTAATGCAAGCACTCCAGACTTACTCATTCAGTCGCATGTCTAGATTTAAAAAGTGGAATTCATTTATTAATATAATTATTAATTAATACTTATTAACATAATTCCATATGAACTAAACTAAATGCTAAATTTAAAAAAAAAGCTAAATAGCTTAAAAGCAGGTAATGGATGTATTATATCATTTTATTGATGTGTATGACAATACAAACTGATAAGAAAGTATAATACATACTCCAAGTATTGAAATACACGCCATCGTGTTGGGATACAAACTGAAGGAGCTAACAAGAGGACGCCCTCTATAATTTGATTGTACAATTGCAAATTTCAGATCATGCAGCTGTTTATTATTCATTTAGCTATTATGTAAAAGGAAGAATTCATTTGTTTCAATAGAGGTGTGGCTAATTAGAGGTTAAAAGCAATAATAAAATATGAACAATTGTACACATCCAGTTAATTAGTAAAAGCGATGCTTACAGTATACTTAAAAGCTAGGCTGCGGAGGGAAAACAATTTTTGATATTTTGTACAACTGATTTTTCTAAGGCAGAAAAAGCATATTTGATGGAAAACTCGGAAGCGGTTAATGAGATATACAAATTTTTGAATATTTAAAAACTGGGGGAAAAGAGGCTTAGCCTCCTTTTTTCACCTTTTTCTCCAGTTTTTAAATATTAACCACTGCCAAGTCTTTTGTCAAATATGCTTTTTGTGTCTTTAGAAAGTCAGTTGTGTATCTACATTCCTCCGGACCTGGCTTTAAAGTTGCATACTAATGTAGCAGATGAGGTGATTGGTTGTAAATCTATTATTGGATGTATAGTCGTATGCTGTACTGTATGTAAATAAAACCACCTACAGTGTTTAGTTGTGGGGTGGTTATATAAGATGGGGTGGTATTCAAAGAATTCCGGGTCATTTACCCATAAAAATATGCCTGTAATCTGCCAAAATTAAACAAATACTGTATGGGAATTAAATCAAGTTTTTTTATACAGAACTATGTTGTATGTACATATAATGGTGCACGTGTCTAGTCTAAACCTTATATCCCCGGGGCTAATCATGAAATAAACTGCTCAATTTAACATATGTTCATTCACTTGGAAATCATAAGAGATTTAAAGACTTGCCGTGACTGTACCAGATACCCCAACATCGTCCCCTTTGCTTAAGTTACTTTGTCAACAGCAAGTCAATTAATCGCACTCAAAGATAATCTATATAGTGTAAAACCTTTGCGTGACAACCAACAGATTTACTTTGAAAAGAAAAAAATTTCTGGGTGAACATGATATGTTTGCCTTGGGCAAAAACACCTCTGAGAAACAGAAACTTGTGTGTTGAAGCCTAAAGATATTTCAAGCATGAACAGTAGAAATTGGTTTGTTGTGGTATTACTGAACTATTTCATTGTTAATCCTGGATTCTCTGTAGGCAAACATTTGGAAGAAATAAAATGCAGTGCTATTTAAATACCTCAGCTAACACAACTTATTTTTTCCCTCCAAATACATCCTATTGCAAGGTTTACTTTCAACATTTTATATTTACCTAAGGTCTATTAAACTGGCAATAACAAAACAAGTTTAGTGATCTTAAATATTCACTTTCTACTGGTTAAAACGTCGTTGCCAGCACGATTTCCAAATATATTTATTGATACTGAATGTGAGAGAATTTTGGGTGGTATAGCCAGTAAAATTTGATGCCAATCTTTCCATTTTTAGACAACATTGGACGTAGGATTTCAACCGCCTGTCACTTTCTCGTTAGTTTCTGGTAATGGCCCCATTTACATGAGTGGACAACATGCACTGGGTAAAGTATTAAACATCTTTCAACATCTAATGTTTCCAGTATGGTATAGAAATTTAAAAATATAGATCATATTAAAATTAAATTTTCAATAGGTATAAAAATCTAAAACTATAGTTTGTATCAATTTCTCACCTGGTATTCAAATTTATGTAAAGTCAATTTGCACTTTTGAATGATCTTAAATCTAGACAGCTTAAAACTAATTTTCATTTGTTGGTATAAATTCTTATCTGCATTTTGATATATTATTTTTATTTTTACTATTTACTATTACTTTATCTTCTTATTACAGAGTTACAAGATGATAAATTAGATGATTTTGATGATGAAGATGATGAAGATGAGGTGGTAGAGGAAGAAGGGGACATTCAAGAAATGTTGAAGTCAAAAAAGAGGAAACGACCGATAGATACCCCATCAGACATAAACAAAAAAAAGGTGAAATTGTGATGGCCTGCCTTCAGGCTTTATTATTTTTATTATTGTTGTTGTAGTTCTTGTTTTTGCTGTTGTTGTTGTTATTATTTTTAACCTAGTGCAATGACCAGTGGAGATGAAAGGACTTGTAGCTTAGTGGTGAAGAAGTTCGCCTTTCAATCCCAGAGTCCTGGATATAAATCTTGTCAAAAATAACTTCACTAAGCCTCATAAAAATACTTAGGGAGAACTATGAACTGCTGTTAAACATTTTTCCCCAGTATCTATCACAAAATTGAACCTATTTTGAGTGTAGATTATTATAGCACATTGCTAATGGTCCATATAAGCTAGTTAACACAACTTGTTGGATAACTCCTAAGCTTGTGTAAAACTGTCTGATGGTGGAACATAATTTTGTAACATAAATGAACTTCATTGAGTTTAAGGCACTTTTGTGGAATGTCTTTTTGTCTATCAAAATCAATTTCATTCTATTTGTCTTTCTACATTATTTTACTATTGGTATTTTTATTGGTATTTTTGTTGTTATTGCTGTAATTATTGTGTTGTTGTTTAAATAAATATATGAACAAGCAATATAATTATAACAAATAATTTTAATAATGTATGTCCCTCTCCATGGGTGCTTGATGGATAGTCTTTCGAGACTAGGCTGCCAATGATTATGGTTTATTGTATATACTCAGTTTGATGGTTCAATTTAACATTTTTCTTTGATATAAGTTTCACTATGGCCCCTCAGGGGAATATGATGTTGATGTTTTGAATTTTTTTTTACCGCAAACTAAACCAAAAGGTGATATCAACTTGTACTCTGTTTTTACCCCAGTAACCACAAAGTCTATTTTTAAACCCTGTTTTGTGTATGCTTGGGATTGATAGAAATCATATAGGGAAACTGTTTAAATGTGGATACTGTTTTCCTGTTGAACATGCCAGAATGGATTGTATTTTAACCCATATCTTTTTAGGTTTGATTGTCTGGGTTAAAACCTTAAAAAATAACCCAATACCGATCATGAAAACCTTGAATTATCATTTATAAGGGTCAAATAAGTTAATAACTTTAAATTAGAGACACATCAAAGCAATTCAGTTTTTGTTGATTTATGCACTTTTTTATACAAAAACAGTTTGATTGACAGAAAATTATTTATGGCTTTTATATGAAAGAATTAATAATTGAAAATTGTTATTATTCATGTATCTATTAATAGTAACAAAAACTAAGTTTTGATTTTCATCATTTTATATTTTATTCATGTCTTATCTGTTTATTGATTGATTGATGAATACATAAATTATGAAAAGTATGAATGTGCAAGTACCCATTCCTCCTTAAACTGATAAACTGATTATACAAATTGTAAGATTTTCTTTTCAATATAGATGATTTAATGTACATGGATGTTTGTTTAAATAGACCATTTTATTGGCTTTATTTTGAAACAGCACTGCCAACATCTTGCAACTCACTGGGGGACTTCCAATAGCCTAGCCTACTGTAAGCAGTTAGTTAGTGTAAATAGAGCACCGCACGCACACTGGTAACTACGTAGTGCGAAGTGCGTATGCCTCTGGAAGTCATCAGTGGTAGTTGCCAGGTTATCGAAAATTTTCATTTCAAATTTCGCAAAAAAGGTCTACAGTTAAACTTGCCTAAGTCAACTCTGCCTAACTTGAATAATTTCTAAGTCGAAATTTTTGATTCGACTTGGGCAAGTTCAACTGTATATCACTTCCTAAGATAATTAGATATTTTAAATAATTCTTTATTTTTTTTCTAAAGCAACCTAAACTGGACCAAAGTGCATCATCTGGAAAGACTAGTGACGATGAAGATGACGACGATGACGAAGATGATGAGGACTTTGAAGTAAGTACAGTAAAACAAGATATTTTTATTTGAAGTATATACCTGTGTGTGTGTACATATATATATTTATAGTTATTGGAGAATTACCCTGAAATATGAAGCAAACAGCAAATTTTGAAAGGTATAACATATGATTGTACATAATTATGTATCCATTTATATAATCTCTCGTTCATCATTTATAAGGATGGGAATAGATAATATCAATGTATTTTTTCTTAGCCTAAATTGGTCAAAAATGCAGATGATGATGATGACGATGACGATGATGATGATGACGACTTTGAAGATGTAAGTGGAAATTATTTGGATACACTTTCACGTAATTTATATTCTATAAATAATATATATGTATATATATTGACGTATATATATTGGCATAGAAAATGAATACAATGATGTAATATATCTTTTTAAAACATATTTAAATTGTGAATGTTTTCTAATCTATTTACATGTTTCTGCTTAGATGGAGGATGATGATGACGAAGATGATGATGATAGGTACGGTATCAAATGTTTTTATAAAGCACACGTCACATAAAAATTATATATATATACTATATATATATTATTATTTTTTATATATATATATATATAATATACTTTTTATATTTTGGCAAATATAATTTGCTAGTCTGGACAGGGTTTAGAACCTTATCTATAGAATCTGAGCACTCACTATGACTTATTTTTCTTTTGGACTAACCAGTAATATTTTGATGGAGTGTTTTTCTGATAGCTATTAACAGACATGGAAATTTGTTCTGATATTTCTAAACAAGAATACCATATCTGTCGTTGTCATTAAACTCCCATTTTAAGGGCTAAATGTTTGTTGGAACATTTTGCACATTGTTGTTGTATAGTGAGTTACAGGCTGAATTACAAAATAATTTCCTCAATTATTTTCTTAATGTATGTATTGTGGTCCTACCTTCTGTTAAGATAAGTTTTTGTGAGGTAAAACCACTGGTTGGTTGTCTCTACATTTTGGTGAAATTGCTCTGACAGGAGATTTTTTACATTATAGTGTACCGAAAGTTTTATGATCTTGTTATTGAATGATACCATCCAACCCTTCAAGAAATATTTTGACTAAATACATCAAATGTATATAGAAGTGTGTGGTGCAGCGTGTAAGGTGTTGGGCTTCCAATCGGAAGGTCAGGGGTTCGAGCTCAATGCTGGTCACACTGCTTGTGTCCATAGGCAAGACACTTTATCTGCAATTGCCTCCCTTCACCCAAGTGGGTACCTGGTAGGAGGTGAATGATTAGGAATGAAATTAGTAGTGCTGATTACACGCTTAACTAGGAATACTCCCCAGGGAGTGGAGGACGTTGCATGTTGGGTATGATTGATTCTATATCCAATGACCAGGAAAAAAGCGCCCTAAGCAGTTTTCTGGATATCTGCCCTATAACTATAAAATAAAAAAAACTCCAATAACAGTTAGCCCTTAAAATAATGTATTTAAACTTCCTTTATAAAGAGCTTTAGTAAAAAACTATAAATTAACAAAGAAATTTACTTACAGTGAGGAAGAGGATGATGATGATGAGGACGAAGATGATGAGGAGGATGAAGATGAAGAGGAAGAAAAGAAAGCAACAAAGGTCCAGAAGAAACCAGCGAAGAAGCTAAAAAAGGTAAAATAAAAAATAATTTTAAATCAAACTTTAATTTACTCTTTTCTTAGTTGTTGAATAGAAAATTAAGTATATATCATCAACAATCACTTTGTAACTTATAATAAAACAATAAGGGAAGACATACAACAATCTTAAATCAGGCCCAGAAGGGGCACATGCAAAGAGAAAGGAAGTACAACATTAATTAAACAATAAGGAAAAAGCAGCAATGGTATTTTTTACGCCAAATTTGTTTTCGTTTTAATCTTAAATTGAAAACTATTAATTTACTTAATAAACATAGAAGCCAAAAAAGTTAAGTTAAATAGAAAGTTAAATTAAACTTCGATTTACTCTTTTTATAGTTATTTAATAGAAAATTAATTGTATATTATATAGATTTTGATAATTGAATTTATGTTCATTAAATAACAAAATTAATTCTTTTTTTTTTTTTTTTCATTTTAACTTTGAATTAAAAACAGAATACAGTAGAACCTCGATTTTACGTACGGTACGGGACCAGAGGACATACGTAAATCGGGGGATTCGTAAAATAGAGGTTGGGTTAAATTTGTGGTAACCTTTGACCTAATATGTACGTAACGCTCAATAAATGTATGTAGGAACGAACGATGTTACCTAGGCTAGACCTAGCCTCTAGGCCTACAAATAAAACCATGTGTTTAGTGTCTTTATTCATCACTTTACGATGTCATAATAAAGTGTTCAAATAAAACCATGTGTCTAGTGTATTAATTCATCACTTTATATCGTTTATTTAACTAAAGAACATGAAAATATTGTAAGATTACCTATACGACAAAGGTAAAACTTGGGAATTCCCCTTCATGCCTATTCTAAACAACAGAGCTCTGGTGTTGTCTGGGCCAGTTGAGACAAACTAAAACCATGTGCGCTGCGCTGGGCGAGCCAACCAATTAGTGTTCGTGTACATGAAACAGCAAACACGTGCTATGCACTGGGCGAGCTAACCAATTAGCGTTCTTGTACGAAACTATGTCTACTCAGCTTCGTGTAGAAAATTCGACCAGACGAGTTTTTCCATGGTTTGCCACACGAAGCTAAGGAGGAAAACAAGTATTTTGAGCACCATCGGTAGTTGTTCATCTCACTCAGTTCACGTGGTTTTAGATTATAACAACCCAATATTAGACTCAATCAACGTCGCTGTTTAATGAAAATACGTTGCATTATGGTTTGTTTATTGTTATAGTTTATTGTTATAGTCTTTTTACTTATGGTTGCTCTGAAAATGGCCATTTGTTTTGAATATTTTCGGGGTTTTTGATGACATCATCGTCGATACGAGGCATTCGTAAAACCGAGGGTTCGTATAACTGGGGTACGTAAAAACGAGGTTCTACTGTAGTAAGCAATTCAAATGTTGACTTAATTTTTTTTTTAATTTGTGTGAAAAGTTTTTAATAATTTGGAATGTGTGTCATATTAGTCAAGATTTATAACTAAATACCTTCAAATCATGTAAAAAGTAGGTCAAAGGTTGACTTGTAGGTCAGGATTGTAACAACCATTAGGAGTAAGGAAGTTCAGCTTAAGTGGGTTTCCTATATGTCACAGGTTATGGTAAGCTTTGAGTTAAGTTGCATGTACATGTCACCCTCTTTGTTGGTATTACTAGGCTAGTGATATGAGCTGCATATTGGTAAGACCGCCTAGCTGATCGTACCCTCTACAGAATATTAGCCTATGTTGGACTAGGCTAGCAGCCTGAGATGTTGGTAGTGAGGATCTGTACCTTGAATGGAATACTGTTGATTTCATGTAAAGATATTTTCTTATAAGTGCAGAATTTTATAAAAATGCTATTTACCATATGCAGTTAGTGTTCTTCCATTGGACTTCAGGTATCATCATACAATATACAAACCCTTCAATGCTGCATGCATTTATTTTACAGACAGAATTATTCACTAATCTAACTTCTGGGTGGGGAGTAGTAACCATTATTTTTTCTTGCTCAAGGACACAACTGACCAGACTCTAGTTCGAACCCTTGATCGTTAGTTGTGAAGCCTAAAGCCACGTCATGTGTTTAATTCCATGGTGAATATATCCTTAGGAGAAATCCTTAACAAACTACATGCATTGGAGTATTTGTACGTATGGTATGTACTCTGTGAGGATAAGTGTAATTTCATGCACAGTTGCCAAAAAATGATCATTAAGATATTATTGTTGATGCACAGTTGATACATCAAAGGGTTTATAACTTGATACTTTTTTTAAGTCTATATAGTTTATTTAAAATTTTCCTCATTGAAAGCAATCATTGCCTTGTTCAGTGAATCATATGTCTCAAATGTCCCCTCCAGCTTGCTTTACAGCAAATATAATTATGGCTATTCACAAACAAATTAAATATGTAATTGGAATTTTAGTTATAGTAGAGGCCAACCATTGCTATGGGCTTGGGTTAGGCCAGGTCGTCTACATTGAGACCTAGTTTCTTAGCTAGGCCAAATTATAGTACCATCATTCATTCAATATTACATGAAACTCATTTATAGGATTCATCTTTCATCGTAATAATGTTTCCTGTTGTGATCAATAAATAATGTGTGCATAAAAATTCTTGTCTTGTCGTGCACGCCCTCGTCGAGATATACGCAAAATACAAATGTTTATTTTCAGCACTTTTCATAATACGTTCAAAATTAGCGCATTATATTTTTTTACTGCCTGTCTAGAAATTACCCCACTTCAATTATGTAGGTATACTGAAAGTAGTTAGGTGTTTACATTTTATTTTTAATTTTGTGCAGTAATAAAAAATGCCACACCTGTATAATTCTTGTGCGATGGTATGTGCCCCATCTTTGTAATATTTTGCCTGTGGTATGCTGTGTCTACCACCTGTGTAAACCACCTATGTATTATGCATTATCTACCAGCTGTGTATAGCTATATTTTCTTCCTATTTAATGCTGCATTCACCACTGTGTAATGCTCGGTCTTTCGTCTGTGTAACACGCCACAATTTACCTGTGTAATGGTTCATCTTCCACCTGTGTAAGTAATGCTCCATCTTCCACCTGTGTAATGCTCCATCTTCCAACTGTGTAATGCTCCATTTTTCACCTGTGTAATAATGCTCCATCTTTCACCTGTTAATAAACTTTCATACTATTATAGATACTGTTAACAGTTTAATTGATCATAACAGTGGTGCTGTTAAAACAGGAGACATTAATCCGGAAGAAAATTTACCTTTTGAACTCCATTGTAGAAAGTTATGTGACAGAACTAGATATATCATTGCTTGTTAATTGTACATATCTGTGTGTGTTCTATTTTATCAGCGATAACTATTGTTTTCATAGTGTGAGAACCATCATAAAATGTTGATATATTTCGTTGAACTTGCATTAATTTAAAGGTTCATAGTTGTGTCTTCATTTGATGACAGGAAACATTTTAATTGCGAATGTTTGTTGAATGTTTGTTTTATTTGATAATGTGAATGAATCATTCATGTCTAATTCCCTCATAAAACACAACTGTCAATTACAGGCATAGAGGGGTGTTTGGAAGAACATAAGAGGTTGTTCACAGGATGTTAACGGCAAGGCCAAGGAGAAAGTCAGGAACCTACAGTAGTCATTTTACCTTGTTGCTACTGTAAGTTGATATGTTAAGATACATTGCACGTTTGTCGGATGAACTTGAATAGAATAATTAATTTCAATATTTGAATTGCTTCAAATGTATGTTTTTAAATAACCTTCAATTGAAAATTATAACAAGAAAACATTTACTCATCAATTAACAGACACAAGAATACAACAGTTTGTTTGCATGAATCCTAAAATTGACAAGTCATTTAAAAAAAAAATATAATATAGAAAATCAATGAACATAAGGATTTTCGTATATACAGGTCTCCCTTAAGGACTTTCGGGACTAGGGTTTCCATTATCTTTAGAAGTTTTGGTCTCTAATTAGAAAAACGATTAATTACTTCAGTCTATTTGGAGATTGATAACTTGGAGATTGATAACTTATTTGGTTCTTTCTTCTGAGAAAATTTGAGAGTTTTACCAGATTTTACCTTGACAGAATTACCCTTAAAAAATAGATTTATTTTCTTAACACATGTTTGCCATTTTTACAATACAAAATTTACCAGACACTGTAAACATATTTTTACCCTATGCTCTAGTTATGTACACTGCACAGTATTTTAGAAGGAAAGTATCGCATTCCAATTTTCGTTGCTGAGTAAAATAGCACATTTAGGAGAAGATGAATGATTAGGTTCAGTTGTTTGGGATTGCCAGAATTTTGTATTTAATAGCGAGATAGATGGCTTGGCAAAAAGGTCACGGCTGGTTATTTTTTAACCTTAGGCGTCATACTGGAATTGAAGTCAAAAACAAACAATGATATAGTGGGAAATGTGGATTCTAAATTGCATAAATTTAAATATTACAACAAATCTTTGAACCAATTAAAATTTTTATAAACCATCATGCTTCATCATCTTCATCACATCAGTGCCTGTAATAATTTTTACCCTAAAAAATTCATGATGTCTGATATAGAATCTTTTAAATTCTTGGGAGCTTAACTTAAGTGACAAAAGACCCAGAGTACTTGCGTACTTAAGAGGGCGTGTGCCATGTTGTTATGATTATGCATGTTGATTATCTTGCGATTAATTGATGGTGCTGTCATTTTGACGAGAGTGGGAAATGTACCTCCAGGATAAGGTCGTCGTTAATTTGATTGGCGATTGCGGATTATTGTCGCTTGTCATAAAATAAGTGGTTAGTGACAGTTCTTTGTTTTTTTTTTCTAGGAAGCTAGTTGTCACACAGTTGTTTATGAGACTGATTTATTTTTTCCAATTAAAGATAAACTGTCTGGTAAAACATGTTATCTGCTTCTGATTGGAACACGGATCAAAACAATTCAATTTTCAGTGCTTTACTACGAAAATCCTTAAATTTATTACTAGCCAATTTAACGGTCTG